GTCTTTTCCGTTAACTGACCTCTCTAAATCGTTCTCAAAATGAACTCTCCTAAAAATATCGGATTTGATTTAAGCCGCATCCGAAATATCAGTATGAAAGTAACTCCTAGTGTTAAATTGCACAGCTACTTCTGCCCGAGAAAGGGCATTTGTCACTTCTGTGTTTAAACGCATACCTCGAGGGGTTTGAAGCCAACCTCGGACGTGCATATTCTGCTGCCTGCCGGGAAAGGTTTCCCGCAGCCGCGTTGTCCCGAGCATCCCCCGGGCTTCGGGGCTCGCCCCAAGTGCACGGATACCGCTCTCGACGGCGTGCCGTGCCAGGGATGGGGGAAGCCCCTGGCACCCGCCAAGTCTCTTCCTGCAGCTTGCGCTGCGCCTAGGTTTACTGCTGATGCAAAAAAGAAAAAAAAAAAAGGGAGGCGGGCGGGGGGGGGGGAAGGGCTGGTATTGAGAGAGACAGAGAGGCCGAGCACGCTTTTGAAATTCCGGGAAAGCAAAAATCCCTCTGTCTCCGGGGCTGCGCTCCCGGGAATATCGGCGACATCGGGGTTTTCGTCACAGAACACCTGAAGCTGTCACCCCGCACCGCTGTGCGGCGAGCCCCGTTCCCCTCGGCCCTCATTTCCTATAAAGATCAACGTGATCGGCACTCAGCCCCGGGGAAGCCGCCCCCAAGCTGCGCGCAGAGTTGCGCGGAGCGGCTGCCTGTTGCCAGCGAGGAGAGGGGAGCGGGCTGTGGGCTGCGGGCTGCGGCCCGCTCCGTCCCTTCCTCGGCTGGGACCTCGGAGGCAGATAGCGCATCGTCTGGGGCCAGTGGAAGGCAAACGGCTAAGTCCTCACTCAGAGGGTCTGCGTTTGGCGCCGGGAACTTGCTCCTCCCAGGAAGGAAAGCCCTCCCCGGCGGGACGGGTGCCGCTGCGAGCGAAGAACCGATGCGTGCCCAGCCGGCAGCCCGCGCTCTTCACTCCCAGGGCAGCCCCGGGGTCCACGCGAGCCCGGCTCCCTTGTGCGGCCCCGCACCGATCCCCTCGAGCCGCCGGGCCGAGGAACTATCCCCAGGCGAGCATCAGCCCGACGTAAGGCTGATGCGATGCTCCGCGCCGCATATGTTCCCTCTGTGCGCGCTTTAGTGAGAGGAGGTGGGGTTAAACGCCGCGCGTTGGTGACCCAGAAATGGAAACCCCCTGCAATAACAGGCTGCTGCTGCTGCTGCTGCTGCCCGGGAGTGCGGGACGTTTTTTAAAATGATTTTACACGCAGGTGGCTCCAAAATAGCTGCCTTCACCAAGGAGCCCTCACCACGAAGCTGAGGGTTTTAATCATGACTGTCTCTTGTTTTTGGTTTGCGTTTTTTTTTTTTTTTTTTTTTTTTCCCGTTTTTTTTTTTTTTTCCTTGTGTGGCGATCTTTTCATCGTCTAATCAATTTATCCTGAATGTCTTCCACACGAAATATTGAATAGTTGCCTTTGCTAGGTTCTCCTTTTCCCCCTCTCTGTCCATGTGTTGGGTGTGAGGGTGCTTCAAATAAAGGAATCTCCAATATAAATCATTCTTCCCTAAAACTGCCGTTTAAAAAGCAAAAGAAAACGAAACAAAACAAGCTACAAATCTTCAGCTACGTGCGTTACTGAGAAGCTGAATTTTTGTTTCACAAATATATATATATAAACATTATTCATGGATACTTACCACCGGTTTGACATGGGGTTACATCCAAAGTCAGCACTCCTCAAGTCCACCTCCTTCACTGCAAAACATAGCCTAAAAGACCACCATTATTGGGAAAAATAGCAGACAACTGTCACATTACCTAACTTAGTGAAGTCGTAACAAAGGCTTCCATGAGAAGTGACATAACAGAAGCTGGAAGGGGTTTTCAATTCCACTTACACTTCTTTTGCAGTTTCCCTCTCCTTCCCCGCAATGTCTCACATTCTCGGCTTGTTCTGTGGAAGCTTGATTAAAGTCAGGAAAGCTGAGTACCACTCATTCATTTCCCGAGGGGGTATTAAACAGAAGAGAGCAGACACGAATGCTTATTGTCAGATCTGTGAGGAGATACAGACTGTTTTCTGTTATTATATGAATACGTAAACATGTAGAAAATCCTGAGAGCATTGGTGACAATGTTTTTGTGTGTGTGCAACTAAGGAAAAGTGCTAAAGGAAATGCTGTGCTTTTTTTTATTATTTATTATTGTGGAGGAGGACCTATAGAATGGAAAGCAGGGCATCATCCTTCACTCATTTTTATGCTATTTACTACACATGGATTGGAAGGAGCATGTATTTTGTCAGAAAAGAATCTACACAACTGTTCTGTGTATTTTTATATCCAATGATGGACTAGTAAGCATATGCAATGTGTTTGTGATGGGCTTTATTCAGTGGGAAGGCAGGGAACGGATCAGCCAGAGCTGACAGATAATTTCATCTCACAAATACGACAAAGTATAATTTTACCTGCAGGTTCTTGGCTATGCTTTCTTTCATCCCATGTCTGCCTGTCCCTCAGAGCAGCAGCCAGGTCGGAGGCTGAGCTGGAGACATCAGCACACGCAGCAGCACTGCATGTCTGTTTCATGAAATCTTCGTTTTCCTGTTCTGACAGAAACACATGGAGAGGATATGGTAAATAATGTGATCTCCTAGAAGAGAAAGGCTGCAAAGCACTGTCCTGTCTGCTCCTCACAGTGTCCCTTCCCAGGCATGAACTTCCCAACTGGGCCTCCAGGCACACAAACCAGTGTCAGCATCCATCTCCTCCAAGAAACATGGATGGAAAACTGTGTATGGCTCTCAAGAGATTCTGCATCACATTACATGGCCCCACAGCACCCATGTTGCCCTTTTGGGTTCTCCTGCACCTTTGGAGAGGGACATATTGGAGGGTTAAGAAGGACACCTCTTAGCACTGGAAACGCTGAGTGCTGTGCTTCATTGTGGTGGGATGTCCCTTTGTAGGGCAACGAGAGGGAGGCTGAGTGGGGCTGCTCTCTGGGTCTGTGGGGCAGGGAGCGTTTGCTCCTCCATACCTCAGTGCTGATGTGGTTTGCTGCAGTGCTGTGAAATGGGGTCAGGCAATACAAGATCTGTCCTGCTGAGAAAAGAACACTGTTAAAAGGGCTGGCAAAGTGCTGCTTTTCCTGCACTTCTGTTCCTGAACTCCTGTTCCTGCAATCCCTATGCAGCTAGGTACAGAGCAAGCAAAGTTGTCCTCTATGCCTGGTGTGCAGCATTGCAGTGATATTTATAACAGCTGTGGTAAGTCTTCTGCGCAGTCCCTACTGTTTATTTCCTGCAACACTGCAGCACACAGAAGCACAAATCACCACCATGAAGTGGCAAATCACAGGTATCGGAGCAGAGTAAGAAAAAGACAACCAGGCAGGTAGAGGATGGTGAGACAGAGATGCCTGCTTGATGTGAGAAGCAGCAGCATGAGTTCTGCTGCTATTTTTGTTGTTTTAGTGTGTTGAGTGAAGCAATGGCGGGCTTCTCTCCGTGCTGTCTCCTGGCTGCTGTGAAAGGTAGGCATGATGCAGCTGTAGGTGGCTGCAATCAAAAGGTGCGTGATGGTGCTGGCAGTCAGGTTTCCCTCTTTGCAGTTGTGGTGCTGGAACAGTGAAATAAGGGCTTTCCCATTTGCATTTTCACATCCTCAGCAAGCTCTGCAATGTCTGGCTGGCTTTTTTGAGAAATGTGTAAAGTCAGAGAGCTTCTATAGAAAGCCTGTGGAGCTTAAGCTTCAGCTTTCCACCATGTCTGCTTACACAGTGAAGGGAGAAGTAAGGGAAATATAGCCAGGGCTGTACGCAAATTCTGCTTCCTTACCTAACTCCTCATCTCACATTCCTGCATTTAAATAATATCTCAATTCCAGATTCTTTCTGACATATCTAGAAACGTATCTAATTCCTCCATTGAAGCCCAGAAATTGGAAACACTGCTGTCCTTGCACAGACAAATGCACTGCCTTTCTCCACTTGGTAGCTCCTCAAGGCACCTTCAGCACCTCAGCTATATACCAGATACAGAGCAGCTCACAGTCTGGCAGGCCCAGGCTTTCAGGGGTAGTAGGTCAGAGTAGGGACAAACACTGAAATTGAATGAATAGGACTATTCCCCAGATACTCAGAAACACATTTATTATATTTCCAATGATTTGCATATTGTGAAAAGTTACTGTTACATTTCGTTGAATGAAGCCATTGCCTGATGAAAGGTGGTGGTGCAGAGATGTTCAGCTGTGGCTGTGCAAACAGCCTCTCAGCTCAGGCTGCAAGAGCTCGGGGAGATGTTTCAAGAGGTAGATGGAGATGGAAGAGAGTACAGAGCATGAGGAGAACCCTGTGGTGCACAAACAGCCAAGGCAGACTTAATTTTCTGAACAAATAAGTTTCGTCAGACCGCACAAAGACAGTCTCCACGTGCTCACGGGTCCTGATAGCTGTTAGCAGCACAGAGGGCCAGCCAGAAGTTCGCCCACCTTGCTGAAGCCCCTGACAAATGTTCTGCCAGCTTCTATGGGCGCAGTGACAGGCCGAGGCTGCTAGTGGACCGGGGAGGCTCTCCCAAGGCTGCTGCCAGCTGCTGTCCGTCGGTCTGGTGTCCAGGCATCCTTCCTCCTTGCACTCATCCTCAGCCCTGACGCTGGGGCTTGCAGGAGGGACGAGTTTATACACAGGCAGACCCGCACACTGGCTGGGTGCAGGAAATAACCCTGCAAACACCTTCCAGGCTCTGAAATCATCGCTCCCTTCCCCTGCGGCCTCCACCACCGTACCCACGCGCAGGTCCAGGCCCAAACGCACGCCCCACACCGGCCCGGTGCCGCCGGGCACGTTGGGGGGCCTCCCATCGCTGCCCCGCCGGGCGGAACCCGCGTTCGGGGGAACGCTCCGCAGCACCGCGTGTTGCCGCCCGGCGGCGGCGGAGCGGGCACGGGGCGGCAGCGGCCGCCTCCTTCCTGGTGCCGGCGCGGGGGCGGCGGCGCGGCGGGGCCGGGGCAGCGCAGGGCCCGGGCGCCTCGCACGGCTCCTCATGGCCGGGAACTTCTGGCAGAGCTCGCATTAGTGGGTGCCGCGGCCGAGGGGAGGGATGGCGGGGAGCTTCGTGGCGCCGCGTTTTGGCCGTTCGTTGCCCGGCGCGGGGATGCGGGGCCGTTGGGGGCCTGCGGGGCGGGCGGGAGCCCGGAGCCGGGCCCAGCTGGTGAGGCGCGGCGGTGGGCCCGGCCTGCGGCTGCGAGTAGCCTCGGCTGGAGGTTAGGGTGGCCTGTCTGGGTGGGGGTCAGCGAGGGCGGTGTTGGAGCGGTGGTCGTTGCCAGCCACGGGGCAGCTGGAGACGGTGGGTGGGATATATTTATCTTCAGCTGTGGCACGTTGAGGGTTGGGCTGCGTGGAGTACCGCATTCTGAGTACGTTGGGCTTTAAATGGATGCCTGGGGTGGGCTAAATATAGCATAAAGCTTTCAAGTAATCAGCAGAGCACAACTTCTCTGCAGTCGGTTTGATTCTCTACAGCTACAGGCCGATCTCAGTCCGTGCTTGTGTTTTTGCAGATGCCTAACTTGTAAAACCCTAGGGATTATTTGCTTCAGGAGTTTGCCCATGGCTTGGCTAAAGGTCACTAGGCCTTAGCCCCTAGCTGTAGTCTGTTAGTGTGGGAGGCAGTGTAGCATTGATAAAGAGTTACTAAAGTTATTTTCCTTCCCTTCAGTTTACAATGGATTTTGGATAAACAAGATCTACTGAAGGAACGCCAAAAAGACTTGAAATTTCTGACTGAAGAAGAATATTGGAAGCTACAGATATTTTTTACTAATGGTAAAATTGGTTTACTTTTATTTGTGCCATCTTATTGTATAGTATCTGCTGTGTCGAGATGTAAGTGGCTCAGAGGATGTGGTTTTCTTTACTACATTGCATATACTTTCACAATGTGTTTTAACAAAGAGTTGGAGTGCCTACAACATTTATTGTTCAGTTAACTGTGTTAGCTCAGGAAGAATTACATATAACCTGGCTGCATATGTAATATGTTAACCTGTGGTAGGGCAAAACATAGTACAGTTCTAATTTTCAGGACTTTCTATAAAAAAACCCAAAAAACTAAGAGAAGCAAGGAGAAGCTGGTAAGCTAGCATATTAAAGGTTGTTGATGATCAGTAAATGTCAAGCTGTGATCTTCTGGGGGGTTATGTGGTAAGTATTTTAGCCAATGTGTGCAGTCCTGTTAAAAAACGAAGCTTGGAATCCTGTTGTGTTCAGTTATACTCTTTGAAACCTGCACAGTAGCCCATGTCTGGGCCCATGTGGCTGATTCCCCAGCAGTGGGTGGCTCTCAAATTGCGCAGTATTGTCTGCAGCCTGTTCTCCTAAAGAGTTTGAGACTTGTCTATGAAGTTATCTAAGACATGGTCCTGCAAAGCATTTAACCCTTGTGAATAGCTGCATTGTAGTTTATCAGGTTACACAGACGCTTAAACTCTTTCCTATGCAATTGTCTGACTTATAAGAAAGAAAAAAAATCTTAGGAGAAGGATATTGCAGAGCACTAGTTTGCTTGCAAACAGCTGTTTGAACACTTTTCATAGCTGTACATAGGAAGTGCAGAACGCTTATCTTTTCAGCTATCTAAAAGAAAAATTAAATGACTTCGCCAAAGCTACTGGAAGAACTTACCTATATACTGAATTGTAACTGTGAAGGACGCTTAGCCCAGCTTCTTTCTTAGGTTAATGGTTTCTGTAATAATTGAGTATGCTCCAAATCTGATTTCTGTTGATATGTTTTCATTATTGCTTATATAGCATCAGAAAGTTAAGCAAACAGTGATTTATCAGTTTGATCAATTCCTGATGTTCCTTGAGGTTAAAACAGTTTCATAGCTTCCCAATGCCAAAAGAAGAAATAGGATAATGGTATTTTTAAAACTGTATTTGTGTTAATTTTCACTATCATTAATTATGGAATGTGCCCTTTTTTATGTTCCACTTCAGTGATTTTCCTGAGTAAACTCTTACAAACTGCATAGGTCACTCTGAAAGTGATACCTCCTATTTATTTCCATGGAAACTACAACAGATACCAAGAGCACAATAACCCTATTTGATAGAGCAAATTCTCAGCTACAAAACATTGTTTTTCAACAGTCACCACTATTAGCTATGCATTTTCACCAGTGATCAACTAAAGCTGGATTATCACACTTGTAAAAATCTGCACCAGCAGAGATGACCCACTGTTTCACAGCTGCTATGATGGCATTGTTGCTAGGGAAAAATGTTGCCCATGCAGTCCATCTTTCATCCATTTGAACAGGTGGAAATCAGAAGCTATGAAATCCAGACTATACAGTGACTGTTGTAGGTTAGTCCAGTCAAGACTGGCATTGTGCTCCATAAAACTGGTATGGGACCTAACGTTATCATGTTGCAAGAAAATAATTGATTTCTTTGTCCTGACTATGGAGGGTTTGAGCCTTCAGCTTAGTTAGCATCACAACATAGCAGTCAAAGGTGATGGTTTCTTCAGGTTCCAGGAAATCCATGAGGATCACCCCTTTCATATCCCAAAAGACAGTGCGCATCTCTTTACCCACTGGCACTGCATCTTGAACTTTGATGGGGAATCATATGTTACTGCATGGGAACTTGAGTTGAGTCATGGCCTGAACCGCTGATTGAGCACCTGGGGAAAGGACTGGTCAGCTCTGAGAGCACAGGTGAAGGCAATTCAGCTGTGCTACCGGAAGGGGTGGAGCCTGGCTGCACCTCTGTTAGACCTCATTTAAGGGCTGACTGCTACTGTGGAAGGACTTCTGGGTGGAGATTCCTCCCTTGTGGAGTTTCCCTTGTGAGCCTAGATCTTCAGAGATAGGTGAGCACTTTTCCTTTTTCTTTGTAATGCCTTTTCATCATGTTGATCTTTTTGATTGTTACGGTCACCGCTCCGTGGCCTTCCATGTTGACTGTGGCTTGTAGCGGTGACACCGCATCTTGTCACCAGTTATGGTGCAGTCCAGGAAATGGTCACCCTCAGCCTCATATTGATTCAGTGGGTCCTAACAAACTTGCATAATGTGCTCTTTCTGCTCTTGTGTGAGAGCATTCGTGGTATCTACCTGGTGCAAATTTTGTGATATTGCACCATTGCTTCCAGTGCCTTGAAGCCAATATTCAGCTTTGCACACCATTCCCTCTTTGTGATCTGTCAGTTAATGCAGGTGTGCTGATAGAGATGCTTTTCATTTTGTGGTATGACAGCTATACAAGGCTGTCTGGAATGTGGCTGGTTGTAGAATCATAGAATGGCTTTGGTTGGAAGAGACTTCAGATATCATCTAGTTCCCAACCCCCTGCTGTGGGTAGGGCTACCAGCTGCTAGATCAAGTGGTAGATCCTACATGTCACTGCTGAAATGCACCAGCCACTGCCACGCTTTGCTCGCGTCCACTCCATAAATGTTCAGCAAGTATCAGTGAATGTCATTGGGTGCCATTTTTTCTTCACGGAGGAATTCAGTTCCACACCTTTGCTTTATACGCACTTCCATGTGAGACATCATTGTGTCAGAGTGCTCCTCTGCTGCCATCTGTCACATGGCAACAGAATGTAACAGAATATTGTTTTGGAAGATTTAACCTCTGGTATCATGTCTCTAATATCTACCTTAGATATCACAGGTCAACATAGTAAAATAGGAGAAGCAGCCCTCATAGATAAGCTAAATTGTTTGTGGTTGTCTTTTTCCTTGGTTCTCCGTGCCTTTTCTAAAGGAAGGTTCCTGACCCATGGTAGCTGGAAGAAGGCTGCCTGCCCTGAGCATGTGTGCATGTATGAACATGGCATGCCCTGGAGGGGATGGTGTTGCTAGACTGTCGCATCTTCTGTGGTCAAGAGGGATACTTTCATGGAGAAGATGGTCTGGGGGTGTACTGTGCTGATGGTAACTCATATAGCAGTTGCCATATTTGAGCCCTCAGTGTGTGTTGTGTTTTTTCACCTGCCTCTGAATTGGGGACCCTATTTTAGATATATTGAGCCTCTCACCTGTTCTGCATTATCTTGATATGGCTGTGAGTCTTGGCTGTGACATGTTGATTCTGCTTAAGGAGGTGGTTGTTTCCCAAAGTAACCTGAAAATTACCTGAAGGGATAATTTCCTGCTGCCTCCCCATTTGAAAACAGTTGCTGTAGATCAGTAACTGATTGTGTGGCCGTTAGAGCTATAGAGAGGGAAAATTATTATCTTCTAAGCCAATTCAAACATGAGAAATTAACATTGACTTCTTTCTTTAGATCACAGAGTTTTAATCGAGTTTTTGGATGAAAAGCCTATTAAATGATTTCTCTTTCTGGTTTGGTGCAGAAGCTGTAATGTTTGCATTATGGGCTACTCAAGACTTCTGAATTGAAACCAACATTTTTTACTTAGAAACCAAACAAATAAAAACCCTGAAACTACTTATTTGGTAAACATGAGGGAATAAATAATAATCCGATAGCTTCCTTTTTTTTTTTTTTTTTCCCAAAAATTTATTATGAGTACTGGAATTTTTCCTGGCATATAGAAGCTTCCATTTCATTTAATCTCTCTAGGCTTTTGTCCATTTTTTTTCCCTAAGCCTCACTTGATTTTTCTCTGACAGCAGATGGCCTAACTGCTCCTGAAAAATCCCATGGGAACAAGAAACATATTTGGAGAATTCTGTTTAGCTTAATGTTTGGATTATTCTGATGCCCTAGTAGTAGGACAGCTTTGTAGCCCCGTGGTCAAATCAAAGTGAAAAATCCTTTAAGACCTCCCAGGATACACTGATAAGTATTTTAATATTTGTACAGGCATTCCATAGTGGACTTAACCTCCTTCTGCAGTGTTGCTTGTGAGTCCTGCTGTTGGTGGCAAGCTAGTCTGAATTAGGTATCCTTTATTTTTAGGAGAAGAGTGATATGGCAATGAAAGAACTTAAGTGGCTTTGGGTAATTGTGGTGGGTAACAAATTAATTTTTGTGCTTAAAAAACCAACCGAACAAACCCAAACTATGTTGTCAATAGTCAGTGTTGGTCAGGGTGGTTCTTCTCCTACACTGGTCCATTTTCTAGCCAACAATGCTCTCGGTATTTACATGTTTTAAATTGCTGCAGTGCTCATTAAATGAGAGTGCAGTGAGAACCTGGATATTCCCAAGGAGGAAACAATGGTTGGGGAAAAAAGGACTTTTTAAAAGTTTTTGTACGCTTAACAGGAGACTAACTGTAGTGTTTATTGACAATGGAATTGTTGCTTTTTCCATCAGTGGTTGCTTCCTGGATAGATGCTTGCATATACACTTGTATATTACTTGTACTTAAGTGTATATTCAATAATCTTTTTTTTTGACGTTTCTGGTGAGGGAGGAAAACAAGAGTCTTCACACAGCCAAGCCTTTCTCAGAGTAATGGCTGTGACAAAAATATGGGAAGAATAACAAGTAACAACCTTGTGTTTGTCTGTGTTTCTCTCTGTCGTTTTCTATATCCAGCCCCAGCTCTTAATCCCAGCTTGATGCATCTAATTTGCTTGGCACCTTTCCTTTGCCTGGGAGGCCAAACAAGAGCTACCTGCACAGATGACACCAGGATTGTTTCTTGGCCAACTGGCAGAGGACTACTATGATGGAGCAGCTGACTGCATCCTCTGGTCTCCCACCCCCTCTCCCTAGACTAAATATGTCATTTCTTTAACACCTGCTGCCTCTGCCAAATTTAATGACCATGTTTGTGTTGGCAGCTTTAGTTGTTTGAAAAGCACATCCATTTTGCATGGCCCTGAAAAGCCACAGACTTACATTTCAAGTATTTGGATTTCTTTTGCTATGAAATGGAATATTCAATATTTCACCCTTTTAGATTCGCATTGCCGTCTACTTAAAATTCATGCTGACTTTGTATACGATGAAGTCGAGTCACTTTTCCTTTTTTAAAGGTGTCCACAAGCTTCACGATGTGGTAGTGCTTCTTCACCTGCAGGTCTGTAGGTTTGCAGCTACATATTGTTTCACCTGAGCAGTGTATGAGGACGCAAGGAGAAGGCTGTGTTACTGCTCCTTAGAATCCTCAGTACTAGCCGTGTTCTGAAATCCTTTGCTGTTTGGTGTCAAATTTTTTTTATAGAAACACAACTCAAGCTTTTTTTTTCTTTTAAGTTATCCAGGCTTTAGGTGAACATCTTAAATTAAGACAGCAAGTTATTGCCACTGCTACAGTCTACTTCAAGAGATTCTATGCCAGGTAGGACTGTTTATTATGATGGTACAGGAATGAAACGTGTCAGGCACATTTTGGTAGCCCTTTTAAATTTTGTATTAAAAAATAGTGCCACTTTTGTTTTCTGGATGGTGTAAAGCTTTTATGCTAGTAAAAGTTAACTTAAGATTTCAAAAGGAAGTGTGGTGCTCTTAATAGATTAATCATTCTACATGTGTGAAACAACATATTATAATTTTGTTGTAACATTTCAGATATTCCCTAAAAAGTATAGATCCAGTATTAATGGCTCCTACGTGTGTGTTTTTGGCATCCAAAGTAGAGGTATGAAGTATTACAATTTTTTAATGTGAAATTATGTGATGTATGAAAGTGAAAAAACATTCAGGACTTGCAGAATTTTTTGTCATTCTTCATGCTGTGGGGGTTAAACCTTCTGGGTATTTTTTTGTATGGATTTCTATTGCAATTTAAGAAAAGGAGACAGAAGGCCTTCAAACATTTTATTTAATATTTGATCTTTCACATTTTTGTCTGAATTACTAACCCTGAAGAGCCTCTGGAAATTGGAAAGATTACTTTAAATGTGTGTTTTGCTATCAGTGCTTACGTATTTATGTACAGTGTATCTTAAATTGTGCAGTTTTTGCTTGAGTCTCCTTTCTCCTGTGCTTTTCCTTCTTGTGCTTACTCAAATTTTAAAACAAATTTGATTTTTCTTTTCTAATTATCTTTTTCCTTTTCTTATAGTGAGGGATCTTCAGAGTTTACCACACTTTCATTACTTGAATTAAAAGCATGTTGTAGCTCACGTGCTGTGTTTGAGAAAGATCTGATCCATTAGGGATAGTGGTGAGAAGGCCTGAGTCCTCCACCAGTGGAGTTGAAGGTCCACTTTGAGGGTGGCTAAAAGTTAGCATCAGCTAGGCCCTGTTCCTAGTTTTCTAAGAAATGGGAGAAGCTTTTCAGCAGTTTGAGGAGGTTCTGCATAATGGGGGAAAAAAAAAAAAAAAAATCATATTGGCAAATGTGTGCTATGTTAGCAGTTATGATTTTAGAGGAGGAACCCAAATACCTAGAGGCGGTCCTACTGAACTGATGTTTATGTGTGGTACTGTTATCTGTACAAAAGCTCTGATAGCTTTCAGTGTTTGAAAGAGATAAAGGAAAGGAGAAAGACACAGAGCATGGAGAGAGTATTTTTTTTATCATCTTGTTGATTAAGCCTTTGATGAAGTCTACTCGTGTAAGGAAAATATGTCCACTTACACTGTGTTACAGCAGCTATTAGGAGGCATTGCAGCCTTCCTGATGCTAAGGCTTCTGCATCTTCAGAAGGCAGATGTAGCAGTAATGATTCTTGTATGTGCATCTCCAAAAGGAAAATTTCTAAGTAGAAATTTTTGACTTGCTGTCTGCCTCAGTGGAGAACCTAAGGCTTCATGGAAACATATTTAGAAAAGTTAGTTAATGACACCCTTATAAACATGGTTTTCTTTCCAATTAGTCTAAAACCAGCACACCTTATTGAAGCTCTTTTGATTGTTTTATGTGTAGATTGTTAGCAAACTAATCTTCAGGTATTGTGGCTGTAGTACTTTTCATATACGTTTACTATTCTTCATTCTTCATAACTGAAAGGACAAAGTAATAAATGGAAAAAACTTTTTTACCTAGATCATGTAATTTACTGTTTAATTAAAAAAAAAGGGTGGGGAAAAATGAAATACAACATAAAGAAGCCCAACTTAGTAAGAGGCGGTTTTAATTTAATAATTTATTTAATATTTAATTTTTATTTAATTTAATAACTATTCAATTTATTTAAATTTAATTTAATAATAATAGTGGGGTAAGCAGTATTTCTGGTGGTTCACCTCATTTAACCTTCTTTTTCTTCAGGAGTTTGGTGTTGTTTCAAATACAAGGTTGATCTCTGCTGCTACTTCTGTGTGTAAGTATTAGTGATTCTCAATCCACCATGGTTAGGTATCTTATAGAAAGATTAGACTTTTTTTATGATGGCTGTTTTTATTAAGTCATGGGTGGTTACACGTTGGCTGCTTGAAGCCAGTTAAATCCATTTAGTATAAGTAACATTTTTTTAAATAAGGAAACAAAAGACTCTATCCTTTATTAGTTCTTGTTGATTCTGAATGGAGCTTGTAAGAAGCATAAATAAAAATTAAATACCAAGGCCTATAAATCTAGAGTAGTGAACAGACTTCTGAGCTACTCAGAGATAGAACTGGGAACCTAGGTATTTATTTGCATATTTTATCAGGTATGTTTCCATGAAAGTACCTGTTTGTGGAAGTTTTGGTAGGCTTCGTGCCTCCTGAGCTTTTTAATTCACTTTTTCCCCTGCCATAAAACTGAATTTCACACAATATTTACTTCTAAATATATTTTATAACCTACATATTGTTCGCAAATAATGATGCAACAAAATCACACTGTAGTTACTTTATTTTCTCTCTTTCCCACTTTATATTTCCCATTTCCTGTAAATTTCGTGTCAACCACTGAGGTCTTAAAGCAATGGCTTCCTTAACTAAATGCTGTAATTTGACCCAGAAGGTCCAGCTGCTCTCAAAAGGCTATTCCTCATTATGCTCTTCAAAATGTAGGTCAGTGCTTTCAAAATAGCTCTTAGCTGCTGAGGGGACAGGTGACCAGCTGCATCTGTAGCCTCCACATGCAGTAACTATATCAATCCATGGGGCTGGCTGTATGACAATTCTACCACCAGAAACTGAAACGTGTCTTCAGTGCCAGACTGACCAAGACCAGTACTAGATTTAGCGAAGTGTTGCTATTTTTATAGCAGAAGCATCTCCAAGCACAGATCTGTGTGGCTGTTTTGACGCATGAATGAGAAACTTAGATGGATTTTAGTTGATTTTGCGTAGTCTTCTACTGTTGAGCTGTGTTGTTTCTGAAAATTCCAGGGCTTGGTGTCTTGTAGAAGTTGATCCTCATGGTTTTTCCTTCAGACCTAGGATTCCTGTGCGTCCTGATGGGCACTTGGCATTTCGTGGAAGTGGGAACAAATAAGCAACAGGCTTTTTCCTTGCATTTTTGTGCTTATATTCTACCTACTCTTCCTGTACTACAGTTGCTTCATCAGTACGCATCCTTTTTTTTTTTTTTTTAAACAGAAAAGGAGTAAAAAGATGAGAATAGTCAAAGGAAACTAGCAAAAGAGAAAACAGCATAGTTGAGGTTGACTTGCTTTTTGTTAGGTAAAAACATTGGAACTTGTAGCACAGGCTTCCTTTGTAAGGAAGATATCTTGGATTTCTTGCAAGCTCTTCAAAAGCTTTTCCCTGTGTTTATACAGCTGACTGAAAGGACAATTTCACATGGTTCCATCTCCAGCTTGCTGTATGGGGGGAAAAAAAAATGGAAACAAAGTAGTTTATTTTTCCCTATTTATGTCTTTAACTTGCATGCTACTTGAGATGTCTGTTTTATTCATTCTTCTGTTATCTTGAAATAATGAAAATTTCCAAGCAGTGGACTAGTCTTACTGCCCTACAGCAGTTTTTCTAGTAAAGTCCACAACAGATCTACACGTTGAAGTTTTCCATCCAGAAGACTAATGTTATCTTCCAAAGTGAGCGGCATATGGATTCCCTGGAAGTAGCATCAATTCATAGTTCACTGTCTGTCACTAACATAAGCAGTACTGTCCATTTGCAGGATGCTAAATGTTACTTGATTTCTATGAAGGCTGAGGACTTAAAATCTTTTTTAAGATTCACTTGTTGAAATCTCAAATCTACATCTTCAAGAGTACTTAATTTTCTTTGCTCGGTAATCTGATTTTACTCTGTTTTTGCCACTTAACATAATTCTTAATAGTGCACTGAATAGCTATTCTTGTAAAATGTATGAGGCTACTTAAGTATCTAAATGATCTAAATTGGGGATCGTTGTAAGCCAGAACACTGAGGATATAGATGTTATTTGGGCATTGTCTTGAAGGCAAGAGCTTCTTGAATTGTCATATGCCTAAACAGCTGCTTTTGAGTGGGAAAAACTCAAGGAGAAAAACACACTTGAAAAGTGGTAGTCCAGTGCCTAAGGCATTTATCTGCACCATGTTTAATTGGCTTTTTGATTTGAATTTGAGCCTGTTTTTTGCCTATGAACATCTTTCTACTAGGTGCTTACAAGATCTCTCTCGTCTGGGTTCTTCTCCTTCCTTCTCCACACCCAGCCTTACTTTCCTAAGACTTTGTCACACGCTTTACGATCTTGCTTATTGAAGGATCAAAAAAATTGCACAGGAAAATTCCATTTGAATTTAGTCTTGGAGGTGAGATCCTAAAATGATCTCTAGATTGCAGTGACATCGGTGGGCAGGCAGCCCTGTGCGAATGGTTACTTGCAGGAAGTTAGTGAACTCAGACATCTAGTAGTGGTAGACTAGAAGATTTAATTGTGCCCAAAACATTAGACAAATGTCTGGCTGAGTAACTGTGAAAACGTGGGTTTGAGACCTATTTCTCTTGCCCTGTCAGAACCTTAAATCTTATGATTTAATTTTTCTCTTTCAAAACCATGTTTTTATATTGCAAGCAGTTGTGCTTCCAGATGGATTTGAAGGGCTCTATGCAGGTGGATTAATAGAATGGGAAAGAAGTTAAAGTGCATCGTTTTTAACATGTTTTGTCTTTACTGTAGTGAAAACTAGGTTTTCATATGCCTTCCCGAAGGAGTTTCCTTATAGGATGAACCATGTAAGTATGCTGTACAAACTATAACTTGATCAAAATGAATGAAAAGACCAGTAATTCTTAGGAGGAACTCCTCTCCTTTTAAATTCTGAGAAGGAAATATTTTCACGCTAATATACGGAGTTGCTTGTATTTAATTTTGGATAGATTATCGAGAAAGATATTGTAATAAATTCTGTATAACTTCCTTTCTCGAAGTTGCTGAAAGGAATGCCATAAAGTGACTGAGTGTTTAAAATACCGATGTTATACAGTGTGATGATAAAAGAGATTTGGCTTTGCCTCCCCAAAATATTCTTGTTTACAAGGACGTTGCTCCAGGGAAGATGAATAGTCTTGGCACCTGAGATGCTTCCAAGTTTATATGCAGCAACAGTTGGCTTACAGGAAGCTGTTTTGTTTTTGCCTATAAAATGTAATGTTTTTTGAAAAATAACTTTTTATCTATTATTCAAAATTTAGATTTACTATTGGGTTTTGAGACATCTTCAGTCTCAGTCTAATAAATTCTATATGGTTTTCTTGAAACCAGTACTGATTTATGCTGTAGTGTTTCAGAAGAAAATACTTCTAATTTTTCTTTAGATTGTGATAAATGCTACCTGTTTGTGATTTTGCCTTTCATCCTATTTAGAAAGCCAAATAATATATCAGGATATAAAATATTTAAACTGCTTTCAGTAAAACCACACTGCTTTTTTACAGATAAAGGCAAATGGAAATATGTTTTGGGATACTGCTTTTCCATAGCAAAAACAGTCCAGTCTTTTGCTCACTATCACTAACTCTTCGCTGCCTCCATGGAAAAGGAGTTTTTTTTTTAATTGCTACAATTGGACAGAATATTTCATATGAAATTAAATATGAAAATATATGAAAGGGCCATTTGGCATGTTAGTAGCCTGCTGAAGAAACTCCAGTTCTACAACAGGATTTCTTGTATTGCTGTTAAGTATAAACTGTGAACAAATTTCTGCTGTCAGGTGTCAAAGCAAGTCAGACAACTATAGTCCTTCACTGTAAACCAGATATGAAACGTTCAAATGGATTGTTATGACTGGGGTTCAATTATAATGACAGTGCATAATCATAATTTCATTTTGTTTGCTTTTGTATATCCAACACTCCTGAATGCATTTCATATAAAACTACAGGTGCTGAGAATTCCTTTGTATTCATAATGTTAAGCTAGATGCCAGTTCTTTCTACTGTCTGAAACATGCTGCAGTTTAATTGTGATTTTACTTCTTTGCAGATACTAGAATGTGAATTCTATCTCTTAGAATTAATGGTAGGTGAGTTTATTTGATTTCACTGACACCTTGGTTTACTCTTTATTTAAAATGCTTTTAATTTTTTACTATGGAATGTGCGTTATGCTGTTGTCATCTTTTTTTCTTCCTCCTGCTCTAATTTTAGAATGGTGCTCATGCAAGTCTAACATTTATAGCATTCTGATGAAAATTACTCAACAGAAATAATGCATATTGTAGTAGTGGTGATAGGAGTATGTATTGCTCACTTTTGGGAAGAGTAAAACATAAATTCTGTTTCCAGAACTGCTTTTTATATAAGAGAGGTAATTGTAATTAATCAAAGGATACGGCCCAGACTTAGAGGGCTCAGGTAAAGTAGCACCAAGTTTCCACATTGGATTTGAATGCAGCTTTTCCCTGTAACGCTCATGCAGTTGGCTGCTTTCAGTCAGGGTTATTCCTTCTTGCATACACCAACGTGGGCCTGGAAAGGAGGAATTCAAAGACCTGGAAAATTTTTTTCTGCTTTCCAAACTAGTGTCAATTATTTTGGCATGCTTTCCATGTATGGTATTTAGCGACAGACTGCTTTCTGGCAGTGTTTTGTATTTCCAAGTGGGAATTACGGGTTTGTAAGCAAATGAGGTTTCACTGTGTTGCAGATGTGGCTTTCTGTGTCTCTTGGGGAAAAGACATTGACAGACTGGCGTCCATGCTGTATAATGGTATTCTAGAGAGAACAGTGCCCTCATTATGGTAGGGTTAGGTGTCATAATGCTGCTTTAAAAGTACAGTAATTGATTTGTAAATCAAATGTTTTTAACAAGAACTGACAACACATTCTGCATTGTAATTTGAGTTTTATCTTGACATTTTTCCTAGGACTGCTGTTTGATAGTGTATCATCCTTATAGACCTTTGCTCCAATATGTGCAAGATATGGGCCAAGAAGACATGCTGCTACCTCTTGCTTGGTAATGAAGACAGCGGTTGATTTTAGTGTTTCCTTTCAGCAAGAAAGCGAGTGTTTAACAGTTATGCCTCAGAGATGGCTAAGTAGGCTAAATAATACAAGGGGTATACAAGTTAACCTATGCATGTATATGTCACTGGCTTAAATTACTGTTTTTAACCCTGTAATGGTTTTTACTTTGAAATGCTCTAGTTTTTATTTTTAGAGCAGCTCCAATAGCACTGTTTTTTACACTGTTACATGGTGACTTCATATAGACATTAGCTATTTTTCTGTTAACGTCAACTTTTGGTAAAAGCAGGATGCAGTTTTGTTTCTTAAATTGGTTAAACAGAACTCCTTAAATTTTAATTTAATCCTTTTAATTGTTTCTCAAATACAGACAATAAAAATACTACCTTTATTTTTGCCCTAATTTGCTTATTTATGGAACAGGGATAACTATTTTATGATGGAGGTGAACACACTGAAGGATTACATTGGTGATGTTGCAATATAGTGTTCCCAAACAGACTTCTGCTGTGACTTCAAGGAAAACAATGGATGACTTTTAGTGAGGAAGAGATCTTAGTTTCTCTGTTTTGCCTTGCAGACTCCTACCATTTGATTAACTGATACCATTTGGGTAACTGATAAAATGTTTATAAACTGGCAGCAGTTTATGTAGTCTAAAAGAGGTATTGTGCTCTCTTTCGCACAGGAGGATAGTGAATGACACATATAGAACTGATCTTTGTCTGCTGTACCCTCCTTTCATGATAGCTCTAGGTAAGTAACAAAAGTAACGTCTCTGTCACCTTTAAAAAGATGCCTTCTGTACTTTGTCCCATCAACAAGCATTCCTTAAAATGCTCTCATAAGCTTCTCCAGTTTGTATTTCATACAGTACTAAGAGCGTAACTATGCAACTTGGAAAGTCTTGAAGAAAAATCACATTTAACTGTTGAATACTGGCTGAGATTGTTTGCAGAGGGAGTGAAGAACTCTGAACTCTATAGAAATTTTGCTGACTGACAAAAATAGTGTTTCTAAATGTATGAAGAGTGAATCATTGAGTATCTCCATCACCTGATATTTGCAGCTTGCCTACACGTGGCCTGCGTTGTCCAGCAGAAGGATGCAAGGCAATGGTTTGCTGAGCTATCTGTTGATATGGAAAAGGTACTCTTGTTTTACCTCCTGCCCTTTGCTATGGACTGACTAGCAATGTTAGCCATGGTTAAAACCTGTTTTGCATGTGTAGGATACTGATTTGAACTACATTCAGCAATTGCATTATAGACTATTGAAATTAGGGAGGAGAGGAAATGTCAGGTCATTTGGGTATCACTCTGCACTGAAAGACAAGACTGAACCTCTGCATAAGGGCAGAGCATTGCTGCTGTTGCCATTTCACAGACTGAAATAGAAAACAAATATCTTGTGGGTTTTTTTTTTTTTGCCAGAAGAAAAAGAATTCCCAATATTTATCGTTCAAGATTGAACTATATTATCGTTTTCAAATTTTAATGCACATAATTTTCTGATTTGCCTTTCAGCATTGTGCCTATGAATTGTCCTTTTCTTCCTTTCATTGTATGTATAAAACATTGATGCTTTCAGGATGACGGGGGCTATGACTTTATTCAGTGTTAAGCAAGGGTGTTCCAAGATGCTGCAGATGAGTTCCCTGACCCTGCAAGTTGCATGTCAAATAATCCACTACGTACATTTATCAGATTTTAAAGTGCATTTTTCTCATACCAATAATGTTCCTTAACTACTTCCTTTTAAGTCTTTAGTTGACTTTCTGAATGCATACATCTGTAACCGACGTTTTGCTCCTGCAAGAAAGTCATACTCAATATATGCTCATTCTCATTCCCCTTATCACACTGTGTCACTCTGCACATATTTTTTCAGTCAAGTTTATTTTTTTTGATCCTGAGCGTTCAAAATGGAATGGCAAATGTAAGAGAAGGTTTATGATTGCTCTCTCTGCCCTTGATTGCCCTTCATCTCAATAGTGATATCCCTGCTTTGGATTTGTATTCCAGAGTTTGCCATGTATTTAAGCACAGTGTGAATGCTATGATGAATCAAATCTCTGTGAACTACACTGTCAGGCATGCAAAAGCAGATTGGCAGCACAGGAGAAACAATCCGTGTTTGACATGTAATGTTATCATAAGCTTGATGTTGAACATGTTTCAGTGTTTAAATGTCTCTGTTCTCATACCAGTGCCTACAATCTAAGCTTGAATTTTATTATTTTTATATTATTATTATTATTATTATTAACACCATGGACCTCCTAGCCAAATGTAACTACTGTTTCAAGGATATATATTGTTCTAGCATTTGATCAAAATCCATAAACTGGGAAGAAGTCCACTTCATTAATTTAGTAAGTGGTGAAACAAATAATGAAGCAAACATGTTTTTATTTATTTATTTATTTATTTATTTATTTATTTTGGGTGGTCCTGTGTGAAGCTGGAGTTAGACTTGATCCTTGTGGGTTCCTTCCAACTGAGGTTATTCTGTGTTTATCCACCTTCTATGTAAAATACTGCACTAGAAAATTAACAGGAAATTAATATAGCCTCCAAACTGGTAGAGAATATTTATACTTCTGGAAATTGAATTTGAAAATTCAACAATTTTTATTATAAAGTATTGAGACACTTCTTAGCTCTTTATTTATTTACTTATTTATCTATTTATTTATTTATTTATTTTTGGAAGTAAAGAATTCAGAGCAGTGTTGGTTTCATTTGTTTTTAACACTGTGCCCCTGGTCGGTACAGAACACAGACAGTAATCACTTCATTTGTAATCCGTGATCATTCAGCTACAGACATGTTGCCAAGTGTCCTTGTTTTCCCAGCAGTATAAAGCATAAGCAGCCCTTTGGCTTTAGGAGGAGAAATGGTTGATACAGTGGGATGGAAATGGAGTGGGAGAGAGAGAACGGTTCTGTTCAGGCTTCAGTTCAACAGTTAAACCAAAAAACTCTTTACAGAAATGGTTGGTTGCCAGACCGGATAATATCAGAGGCAGCTCTGTTTCTAATGTGAAAATTGTGCTTCTTAATTTGAGGAATGGTTAATTAACTGTACGCTGCAAATGATGACATTAATACCAAAGTCACTATTGTGATTGACCTAAAATCCAGTTTCTTTCAAATCAGATTTTAGAAATAATCAGGGTTATTCTGAAGCTGTACGAGCAGTGGAAGAACTTTGATGAGAGGAAGGAGATGGCTACTATTCTTAGCAAAATGCCTAAACCAAAACCACCTCCAAACAGGTACTGTACCTCCATTACTTACTGCACCTTTCATATGGAAAAAATAAAATACTCTCTTAGGTATGATGATATGTTTGAGGCATTGTGAATGATAGTGCTCTGCAGGCTCTTCTAAGTGTGCAGTCTGATTGTTCAGGAGGAGAATATTTGCTCTTTTGTGGAAAAGCATTAATGCAATTAGAATCTGAGCAATACAGGTTAAAAAGAGTGTGTTAGGTCCAGTGACAGAGCCTGATTCTGTAGAACTGTGCCTGTTTGATGTCATGTTTAATTACTGTGATTAAATATCAGTATTTGGAACCTGCACACACACATTCCTATGCACAAGCTTCTGTTATGGGAACTTAGGAAATGTTGATTTCAGGAGTGAATTCAGGATGGAGCTGCATCGGAGTATTTTGAAATTACTGTTCAAATACACAAATGTTTTTCATTTGCAAAAGACAGAAATGCAGGATGGTGCTGTTGTTTTGAGACGTGTCTTTTTGTGTTTCTCTTCCAAACAGTGAAGGAGAACAGGGTCCAAACGGTAGCCAGAACTCTAGTTATAGCCAATCTTAAGACATTCCAAAGAATTTCTTTACGGACCACTTTGACTCAAGACATCCTGGGATCTTTCCTGTGTTCATGAAATGGACAGAATTTTTTAATAACATCTTTGACAAAGAACTTGAAGAGTAAATAGCTTGTTTGTGTCAAGCATTTTGGAAGTTTTTTCTTTAAAACTGCATCATTTTCTCTGACGCTGGAGCAAAAGTACTAAGATTTCTCAGTGTAAGGAATCAAATATTAAACCAAGCTGCAAAAGGGTAATTCTATCCACTCAAAACAAATAGTTCGTTACTGGTTTGGTTTGCTTTGAGAAAATTGTGGCTTGCCATTAAAAGTGATTTTTTTATTTTTATTTTTAAGAGTGTTCTTGAAGCCTAAGTGTAACTATATTAATGACCTGTGTTGTCTTCATTTTGTTTGTGACTGAAGGAGGGTAGTGCACTGTATGTTAAACCTATTAATTACCTAGGGATTTGGTGATTTTTCTATTTTTATTTTTTTTTTCCTATCATCTGGATTTTCTAACAAGTGAAAACAGTCCTTCAGGAGCAAAGCACAGAAGAATTTGCAAAGAATGGTGTTAGAGTTTTAATGAAAACTGCAGGGAAGAAATTCAGTTCATTTTTGGGGGTTAGGAAGGTGCTTGTTTTCCTCAATAGATGTACTTGGATGTTTTTGCCTTGAAGCCTAGAAGCCCAACTTACCAGAAAAGTGCAATATGTATAGTGATTCTGCAGTTTTCCTAAGCATTTCAAGCATTTGGAATTTAAAAAACAAAACACCAACAATTATTTTTTTTGCATGTACTGTGTAAGTACAATTGGAGTATTTCACAAACAAATACAAATCTGGCTATGATTGTTTTTTTTATTTTTATTTTTTTCTTTTGTATAAAAGATACACACTGTTAGTCTGCCTTCACTGTTAGTGTGAATTTGTGTGGCTCGTTGAAGAAGTTATTTAAGAGGATCAAGCTTTTGGTGAGCTTCATACTGGCTAATTTTAATTGTGATCTTAGGAGCAACTCTTTAGAATAACTGAAATGGGATTCCTTGGTTGACTGCGTGCTGGAGAAAATGAGATTCCTTCAAATAGAAGGCCATATCCTGTGTTCCTTACTCAGGCAGATATCCCACTGAAGTCAGGAATTGGCCTAAATCAAATGTAATGATTTTTAGCTAACTTCCTTTCTAAATAATTTCTGTACAACTTCATTTTGAATAAGAATGCTGATTTGCCCGACTATAAAAATTGAACAATAAAACAAAGTGAAGTACCGTTGTTGTCCAGCTTCTCCTTTCCTCAAACACCACATCTTGCAGGTTTAAAATGCCAGGGAGGGTTCTACAAAATCTTTTGTGATGTTTTGACTCAAAAAACGGACCCATTAAAAGAAAAGTGAACTCTGTTTTTGTAGATAATATCCCTCTGCAATTTGCACCTCGTTCACTGAAACAGAAGTGTATTTATATGCAGCCAGCATGGCTACTTGCATTTAGTACTGTTCTTGTCATTTTTGTTAAAGATTAGGTAGTAAAATCCAAACCACTTTAATAAGATAGAAAAAACACACTGTGGCCTTTGCTACTGCTGTTGCCCTTCAACTGTACCTTTATAGACACCTAATTGATGAAGTGGGTTTGGATATTTGTCTTTGGTGCTCGAAGCCTAGAATGTTCTACTTGTGATGTGCACTTGGCAAGTAAAAATAAATGCACACTGACTGCTGTATGGAGTTCGTAAATATGAGCTGTTCTTCAGTTAAACATCAGTCTTTTCACATCTATCACACATCCCTCATCTTTTTTTATTTATTTAATTGGGGAACTTTACACAATTAAGAATGGACAGAGTGAAAAGTTTTCTCACTGCTAAAGAGCCTTTGCAAACTTTTCTTCACACCTTTATTATCTGTATGATCTAAATCTCAGAGCTAAAATATTGGGCACTTGATGATAACTAGAGGCATCTGAAGTAATTACTGTCAGGATGATGATGGTATTACCATCTCTGATTCCAGTGTAAGCAGTGAAAGGCAATAGAGTGAAGTCAAAGGATCTGAATTCAATGATGAGAATTACAAAACCTGTTTAAACAGCTTGGAAACTGTTAGACTACAGAGAAAAAGGTTGGTAAATCTATTTCAATATTTTAGTTGTATGTTTTCATTATTTTAAATTGCCTTTAAAAGGTGTTTAACAGTTGAAAAAAAATCTACTACTAAGCATCAGAAAACTTACATTAAGATTTCTTAATGCACTGCATTAATTAATTCCACAAACCTCCTGCTCAGTTTCTCATTGTCATCCGACGAAGCTGGATTCTGGGAAAGGCTTTCTTCAGGGGCAAAATACTTCTGCCCTTTGCGCTCTGCCCCTACCTGCCACTCATTGAAGTAACAATGGACTGAAGGACTCCACTGTGCAGCTGCTAAAATGCCAACTGGTCTGTGCCAAAGAATGTGATTTTGGTTTTTTTTCCAATTGGTAACAATTCTGCACTTACTAAAAGGCTTGTGTTTCTTTTAGCCTCTTTCTTCCAAAATTTAATTTCTTAATAGAATTTAGTTTTCTAAACCCAGAGAATATAGGATCTCTTGTTATGATTGGTTTGGTTCCCGAACAAAATTTGAAGGTTTCACCATATATGGTACTGTCCAATAGTATATGAAGAGTCAAAAAATCTCAGAATTCAAAGATGCCAGCTGGAGCTGATCCTCTCAGAACAGGCACATGAAAAGCTTGGTGGATGGAAGACACCTGAATTTGTCCTCAACAAATTCCCTTCTAGGGAAACAGGATAAACAGTGCGAGTGGCAAAATGGTGCTTTGGGAAAACTGAGTAGAGTTTAGGTAATGGAAGGGGCCTCTTAATGTAGGTGGAGTTCTGGTGAAGAGCTACATTCAAGTATTACGTATGTATGAATGTCCATTAATGAATCCCTGTGTAACTCCATATTACCAACAGCTTCAGCAGGCTATTCTGAGTCACACATAAGAAATTTGTAAACAGATGATGCTACATAAGCAAATGTCACAGAGGTGAGACAGTTGGTTGCTAATTCTCAGAGCAGAACCAGAAATCTTGCTCTCTTTTTCCAGACATCCCGCAGAGTCGTAGGCTTCTGCAGTTTTCTATAGGCTTTAATTCAGTTCAGAGTAATTCAGCTTTGCTAGTTCCCTTGAACTGCTAACAGCATTAAAACAGACAAATAAAAAACCCAATCCTTAGAATTATGACTATGCGGCTGTATAGGTGGGATGGGATGTATTGTTTTTTTTTTTAACATTTCAGATGTACAAATTAATATACAAAGAAGAAAGCAGGGAGTTAGATAGCTTCCTTGGATGCTTCACATTTTCCAATCTAAGATGATTACATCTCCATAATAACAACTTCAAGTAAATATAGACAAGTTCTCACTTGATACTGAGCTGCTAAGGGAAAAGAACAAGTTGACTGAGTGCTATTGCATTTTGTGCTCAGAAGCAGACCTGTGTATGTAAATGGACATACTTCCAAAGAAAGGAATCACACATTTTGAACAGCAAGTCAGTTTCCCATTGTATGCTCTTGATAACATGGTAAAAACTTAAAAATATAGCTATACATGAAGGATAATACACCTGTGCTTAGGACACTTACAGCAATTCCATTAAACTGCAGTTATTCTAAACAAGGTACTCAACAAAGTTTTTTGGGAAGGATAATTTTATGCATGCTATCACCATTTATTTAAAGTCATAAAGCAAATCATGCCAAAATCCTGGTAGCCAAAAACATTAAAATTCTTGTCACTTTCTTCCAGCAAATAACGTCGTGCAGATTAAAGGCTGAACAAATTTAACATCTTCTATTCATCTCCTAGAACTTAATTGAAACAAAGCAGTTAATATGCATGGCTAATGAAATGCCCATTTACAGGAGGGGAAACGTTTGTATTCTGAAAGTGGATTGTGGGTAGTTTGAATGCTAAAATCTACAAAGCATCCTGATAAAATCTACAAAGCATCCTGATAAAATCTACAAAGCATCCTGAAGGTGGGGCAGGAGCTGGAGGATGTCATCTTCATTTTTTCTCTAGCGATTCATGTTTTGCCCAGTCCTCAAGGCCACCAGCATAGTGCTGAACTCTGAAAGTATGCAGAAGATAAATATCATAAAGGACTCTCCTATCGATGTAGGAAAAGATAGGGAAGAGAAGTGACAGAAAAAAAGCACAAAGAAATTATCTTAAATACACTTGCACATTATACAATGAACCAGGCAGAAATAAGGGAAGTCAAACACTGCCTGCATCTAAACAGTATATTCTGTAGGCCATTTCTTCCAAATAATGCAATGCTGGAGATCAAACATCAAGCAAGTAGTGGCAGATGGATCAATTAAATAGCTTGCCAATGAACTCACTGCAGTGGGACATTATGTGACATTATGCCTAATACTTCAGATGTTATGAAGTAAAAACACACAGGTCTTTAGTCTCTTGCAAACATACATGCTATACAGATCTGACATAATCCTGGAAAAAAACAGTCGTGATTAAAAAAGAAACACCATGCAAAACAATCCTTCAGTTAGGCAGTATGAAAAACAGGTGACAAAGGTTATTTTGCACTTATTTAAACGGCAGATTTATAAAACAAGAGCATGGTTCCACACTTTTGACTATAATTGGCAGAAATACTCCAATTCTTGAATTGCTGCTCAGTAAAAACATGGGCAAACAATCAATTTTTGAAATTTCTGCAGCCTTCTAATCAGCGAGATGCCTTCTGTTGAGACCTTAACAACTCTACCAGTCAAATGCTACCATTTCTTTCACTCCGTCAATCTTGCTGTCTTTTTCACTAGTCGCTTCACTACTTTGTAAACAACACACTGCTTTACTGAAAGCCATACTGAAAGTCGTATTTTATCACCGTGAAATGTACAGATGAATTGTACAGGTGGAACAGCAGTTTCACAAAGGGTATGTTTTCATAAACTACCTAAGATTTTACTTGTACCAAAATAAAAACTATTCTACCTTTCCAGTCATTCTGCATGTGAAGATTAGTGTTATGATGCTGTACAAGTGGCATCTCAGCAAGGAATAAGTAATAAGTAGAAAGTCCTTCCAACACCAATGTGGTCCTGCAGCACATGGAATCACTTCCAGCATAAAAGCAGAGTTGCTGGGGGTTGTTTCACAGGATGCCTCACTTCGCTGTAACACCAAATACCATCTTTCAAGGTTCAGTGGGGACATGAAAAGGTACTGTTTGGCAGTTCTCTACCTATAAGATTAATCTCTTCATTCCACGTCAAAAATATTACTCACACCCATTGGAAGTTGAGAGAGAGTTCTGCTGCACTTACTGGAAGAGGTCATAGTAATTTCATCCTTACGCATGATTTCATGCTTACCTGCTGAAACCCAGGGATGCAGCAAAACACAGTGCTTGTCTACTTCTTGTTCCTGCAAAGCAGGAGAAAACCACATGGTCTGACTTGGCAGGCATCTTCTGATTGTACTGCTCCCTAAAGTCTGCTGGATTCATCTGCAGAGCTTCCACTAATTCATTCACTGGGAAATGGAAAAATAAAACAATACAGAAAGTCTCACTTATTCTCTGTCCACCATTAGATCTACATTCTAATGTTTTGAATTCCTCTGGGAAGATCTGGGCTCCACTGCTCAAGAAAGACAGGGATTTTCTAGACAGAATCCAGTGGAGGGCCACAAGATAATTATGGGCCCTCCATATGAGGAAAGGCTGAGAGACCTGGGACTGTTCAGCCTGGAGAAGACTGAGAGGTAATCGTATCAACGCTTATAAATATCTTAAGGGCAGGAGTCAAGCAGATGGACCCAGGATCTTTTCAGTGGTGCCCAGCACAATTAGTACAAACTGAACACAGGGATTTCCATACAAATATGAGGAAAAATTCCATAACTATGAGGGTGACAGCACTGGCACAGGCTGCCCAGAGTGGCTGTGGAGTCTGTTTCTCTGAAGAAATCAAGACCCACCTGAACTCCTTCCTTCCTGTGCCACCTGCTGTAGGGAGCCTGCTTTAGTGGGAGTGAGACCAGATGATCTCCAGGTCTCCTCCAAACCCTGGGGTTCTGCGATTATGCGTCCATAGCCTTGCTCACCAGCCAAACTGCACCAACAAACATTTCCAGGCAACAGTGCGAGTATCTTACATGGTATGTTGATGGACGCCGGGATTTTCCCATCTCTCTCAATCTCCCACCTCTCTCGAACATCGATGTGGAGGACGTTTGCTTTCTTCAGGTTCTTGAGCTCCTGGTAAGACACGCTACTCTCCCTCTCGGAGCAGAGTCTGGGGGAGGTGACATGTACCGCCCTCGGCTCTGTAAAAGCAGCACAGCCCGTGAGCGCACGCTGAGCTCCCCCCGGCTACCGGCAGCAAGAAAGCGTGAAACACTTCCTCAAGCTCCGCGCCTCGGGTGATCCCGGGCCCCGCCAGCCGCCCCCGCCACCCCGGTCCGGGCTCCCCATGTCGCACCCTGCCTCACCGGGTGCCGCCCCCCGCCGTCCCCAGCGGCTGCCGCCCACCGCCCGGAGGGCCAGCGCCGCCCGGCACCGGCACCAGCCGCAGGCTGCCATACTTCCGAAGATGGCGGCGACGCCGGCCCGCCCTGCCCTGCCCTGCCCGCTCCTTGGGGCCCTCCCCGCTGGCAGCCACCGCTTCGGAGCGAAGGGATGAGGGACTCCGTCTCCTTCCACGTGTCTTTGTACGCACACCCCGTACCGGTGGTGCCCGTCCTCAGAGGCAGGCGTGCTGATCATCTCCCTCCCTAAAACGAGGACTGTGTTTTGAGGGCTACAGTCTTCCCTAATGAGAATTTTCTTTTTCCAAACGAGAACAAAGTGTTCCTCAGAGCTGGAGAGTGTGACAGATCGAAGCTGGCACAAGAGCTGGTTCCCCAGCCGCCCTTCTGCCGACTCCCATATGGCCCCGTGACGGGCATTCGCAAATGTCTCTTTGGAGCAGCATAGCTATATGTGAGTTAAAGCTTTATGCGCTTTCCATTTTTAACAGAACACAGGGGGATGGAATGCTTCCTCTTTCGGGTCATGTTTCATGTGCGTACTTCTAAAACAGCCACCCAGGTTTCTGTGTGTTGCAGTTCAGACTGTAGGTATGAATGGTGGTTCGTCAGAACAGTTTGCGCATGAGACACAAATTCGCATCAGGTTGTATTTGTATGAATTAGTTTGTATGGCTTTGGTGTGACCTAGGATCACACATACACACACACAGAACACACTGCCCTGTGTGCAAAAGCTAGAACAACCCAGAGGCTGGCTTTTGAGGGATTAGTTTGAAGTCAGAGTGGCTTGGGCCAGCCACAGCCCGATGGTTACTGAAGGGACAGGACAGGGGATAGCAGTAGCCCAGCCAACGCTCCGTGCTGTGGTACTCATGAATCACCATTTCCAATAACTTTTCCATCTTTTCTACAAAAGCAGCATACTTACTGTCTTCTCACCTTTGTGGTACTGCCATTAGCACGCACCCACCAAACTTACCCACTTTCCCACTCTCCTTAGCACCATAATCGTGCTTTACTGAGTGCTCTTGGCTTTCCCTGCTTTCACTTTACTTTTCTCTCTGGCTCTGACGGCTGGTGCTGTTCACGTTTCATCCTTCCTCACCCCTGGCCTTTCATTTTCTATAACAAGTCTTCCTATTGCACAGCTGTAACTTACCCGCGTTTTTCCTGGGATGGGCATAAATTTAGCCTTCTGACCTCACCGCACAGAGTTCAGTCTGTGCTTCTCTAACCATCCCCTCAGCGCGTGTGCAACGCAGCCGCTGCAGGTCCTTGTTTTCGGAGTGCCCCACAGCACACCCCTTTCCCTCGGCGTCTCTAGAGCCACATTCCCCGCACGCTGCCCGCCCCAGGCCGGCTCCTGCCCCGCTCACCCAGCGCCGGGCCCGGCCCCTCTGGCGCAGGAGGCGGCCGGGCCGGGCCCGGGGGCGGGCCGCGCCGGGCGGAGCGGAGCGGCGGGGCCCTGGCTGAGGCCCAGCTTCCTCCGCCGCTTCCTGCCGCCGCCGTGCCTGGGCGCCCGCCGCTCGGTGAGTGCGGGCCGCGGGGTGGCGGGGAGCCCGCCGGCCGAACTCAGGAGGGCCGTGCCCGCGAGCGGCTCTTCCCGGATGGCGCGGGGCCACGGCGCGGGTGCGGACCGGGGCAGGCCGGGACCGATCCGCTCCGCCATGGCGGCGGCCGGCGCCGAGACCGCGGCCTGGGGGAAGGGAAATCGCGGACGGGGAGACGGGGCGTCGGGTCTACGCCGCGGGGCCGGGCCCCGGGGCGACCGGGCGGAGATCCCCGTTCCCGGGGTTCCGGGCGGCGCTGCCCGGCGCCGCTCTCACGTAGAGGCGGAACGCGGCTGGTGTGGGCTCGTGCTGCCTCGCCGGCTGCCAGCTGCTGGTGTCCGCCAGCCGTCAGCGGCCCGAACGCGCTAAGCGTGCGGCGAGGTGAAAATAGCAGTATCGGGCCGGCCTGCCGACCTGCGGCGAGCTCCTCGGCGAGATGCCTGCGCGGTGAGAGGGAACCAGCCGCCGCGCAGTTGGTTGGGTTTAAGCATAAGCTGCGGTCACTTCGCATTAGGCGAGCGAGCGGGCGCGCTCCGCAAACGCGGCTGTGACATAGCGCTGCGGTCCCGTATCGCGATGCCGTCAGGCGGGCTGTGCGCAGCACTGACAGCGCAGCGTGTGCCGGCACGGGGTGGCGGGGAACCGTCGGTGCGCACCGCCCCGGGCCGGGCCACCTGGGCCGAGGTGGGTGTTGGGAGCAGCCTGCCCGTGCTCTTCGTTCGTCGGGGTTGTGGGCCTGCAGACTCGTAGCAGCTGCTCTGCAGGGCGTATTTGGGTTCGTATTACGATTTTTTTTTTTAAACGCGTGGATGTTCGCAGAACTTCAGTCCTTTGTCGTCTGTAGGCTTTACTTCAGGACCTCACCCTGTTCTTGCTATGGGAGTGTTGCCACTAATAGGATGTGCATGTGGCTGCATATTAAGCACAGGAGCACGAGAATAAACGTATGCAAAGTAGGAGCTGATAGCGTTCACTTCAGATATACTGTGGCATGTGGTCTTTAGCTGCAAGTGAATTCTACTAGGCAGACCTTTAGTACGTGAAGACTCAAACATTTCACCCCCCCCAATATTCTAGCATTTTAAATGGAAGGAGGGTAGTGGCATGCACATACACCATACTGATGGCAGAGCATGCCTTGTAAAACCGTTCTGCAGCTTACTATGGTTGTAAATATTTTGTCAGATTTCTTCATGAAATATTGAAGAACTTGTGTTCTGTAGTTTTGTTTCTGCCTGATTCGCAGAAATGCAGCTGGCATCTCACAGTTCTGCTGCGGTACATCAAGGACAAGTCGTTCTACTTTAGGTGCATTAGCAAAACAAACTGGGGCAATTTGTATGTAGGAGGGAAGTAGAATGAAATGCTTTGCTCTGTGCAGCGTGACTTTGACTTTCAAAGAGCTCAGACTAGTTTTTCATAGTCCTTTATGCTGTCTATTCTACCACATCAATTAGCTCACTTCCACAGCTTCCAAGGTAGATGCAAAGCTTTGCGTGGTCTGTGGTCTTCGTCTTCCTGGGACCTGTTCCAGCTCAGCCCTTTAGCTGGGGAGGCTGTATGGCTCTAGGATACCAAGGCCTCTCAGCTTGTAGTGTGGGCTTCAGTCTGCCCTCTCAGGCGATGTACTACAGCCACAATTCCTTTCTATTATGTAACTTGAAGAAAAATTATTTTTTAATTTTTCTAAGACTCCACAGACATTTCATCACACTTCACTCTTTATTGGTATTGCCCTTCATTTTTTCTTTATGACATCTTGAACCACTTTTTGCAGTTTTTGTCCCACAGCCCTGCCAGGATGCCATGAGCTCCCTGCTGGTTCTCTGGCTGTTTTGGCTGTTATTCCTCATGTGCTTGTGGTGACGGCACTGCTCACGTCGCTGCTCACACCACGTGGCTGCTGGGGCTGTCAGCACTGCCAGCACACTGTTGCTTCACAGGGGAAGTTCTCTGTCGGGCCAGCATAATGACTTAGAAGCTACAGCTCTTGCTAAGATACTGATGCATTTCTGTTTCTCAAGGATATTCATGGATCTGTAGGAAAATCCATGTTAGACCCTGAACATGTCAGCCCAGATGCTTTTCCCTCTTGGTGTATTCATTATTAGGCTGGATATTGGCAGGAATCCCTGATTTTTTTTTTTTTTTGTCTAAAAGTTTCTAGCAAAACTTTTGGTATAAAATGCTAGTAAAAATATGTCATCAAAGAACTGTTCCTTTTACCCACTCAATCCTTTTATTTACTTGGGTCATAAACCCAGTTTTGGGCTCTTTTTCTTCCTGTTTCAGGGCACATCTCGTTTCTCTCCATCGTTAAAAGCAGGTTGTTTTTTTTTCTGGTGGCAATTAGGTTTCAGTGGTGCATACATGGAGGATTGTGTAGGAGGCAGACATGAACACTGACAGACTGTTTGGCATGGACAGATGAATAAAAAAGACTAGTAAAAATAAGAAACGCCATGGGATTTTCACTCTCGCTTGGGAAGTTGTATCCAGTGGTCAGAAGGCTCTGTCCATCTGATGTGCAAAAAGTACATCTGTGTCTCACTCTGTGAGGACTCCAGTCTTGTGTCAGGACTGGCGTTTGAGCTCCAGTGATGGTGTAGGATGTGTGATGTGCCTTTGGGCTAGGAATCTGGGAGATGACACTCTGAGAATTTCAAACGACGTTTTCCAGGGGAAGAAGTGTTGCTGCCACTACCAGTCAGCAGTTCTGGTCCTATTACTGCTCCAGCAGGCAGTGAGGGCTTGTTTGTTGTGAAGGTTTTGGTGGCTGTCAGAATGCACAATGTCCTGGCAGCTGATTGATGGCACTGCCCAGTTGCTGACTGTGATGGATGTGGTTCTCACTGCGATTGGGTGACATTTGATCTAGCAGTGAGTGAGCCAAAATGCCACAGGTGATGCTCTGAACAGACATCCAAAATAGATCAACTTGCAGCTTGCATCAAAACATGTCGCAAATGTGCTCGCAGGGAAGCTGGCATTACTGTCCTGGGCAAGTCAGTCATTTTACAGTTAGAAGGAAGCTTGTAAAGTGCCATTGCAAATGTGCTACAGAGCATCTTGACCTTTTGGCTTAATCTGATCAGCGTCCTGTGGTTTGGTGATAGGCTGCTGTTGGCAGCTGTGCCATGAAAGCCCTCTGCTGATTTTTGGAATGCTATATATTTTTATTTTATTTTATTTTATTTTATTTTATTTTATTTTATTTTATT